TTATAGAATGCCACAATTTACGTAATAAAAAAATTACTAATTTTAAACTAAATTTTATTATTTATAAGATTTCTTCTGAAAAATGTAAGAGTTATTCTAAGGGCACAGAGTTTGAATGCTTATTTGTATTCCATAAGTTAATATTCAAGCGTGCACACATGCAACTGTATGATCGCATTTAATTAAGTTATCAAACAGTCTGTAATTGTTTACAAACCAATTGCAATTTAGTAATTCCAAAGTGGTCATTTGCTTATAGTATGTGCGCAATTAATTAATAATCAAACTGCAATCACAAAACTAAAAATTGCATGTCTACCAGAGCTCTAAGGGTAATTATATTTTTTTGTAAATACAAAGTGTTAACAAAGCGGTTAAAGAATGAGGTTTTTCGTTGATTTTACTATATGTATCGAGTAATATTCTCTCATTTATCATCAATATATGTATTTAATTATTATTTGAAATTTTCATCTTGGTAAATTGTGAAAAAGTCTGATGAATATATTACACATACTAAGGCGTTTAATAGACCTATTATATATGTATATGTATGTAGCTTAAATCAGATCATCAAAAATTCAAAATTGCTAACCCTATATTTAAACAAAGTATGTAAATATTTTTAAGAATTTTCAAGCATTAGTGAATAAAAAGCATTTCTAATCATATTGCTTTTCGTTTTTTTCATTTCAGAACAAAATAATATTTCAATTCTGAAGCATACTTTTATTGTACAATAAATTTAACTGCATTCAAACATATGTATACATACGTGTATATATTCATTGTATATGGCCTTATACATTATAGGAAATTTTCATTATATCCATAAAATCCATCACAACTATCGATTCTAAATATTTTTTTATTCCTTTTACTCTCATCTTACAATTCTCATCTACATCATTTTATTTTCAATAAGAATATATAAAAAAGTTTTTTTTATCCTGAATTTATTTATTCTTTTTTTCAGTCCGTTATAACAAGTAGATGAGATTTTTTTTTATAAGTATATACATACATACATACATATACATTATGTCTAGTTATATTCATATGGATCTAAAAGGTTTATATCAGTGTATAAGGTACATGTTATAGAATATGTATATTTTAATCATAACTTTAGAACTTTTGTTATTTCTTTTTTACCATGTTGTGACTACCTTATATTCAATTCCCCGTATATGTATATTTATACAGAAATTCATGACAAGGTATTTACTTACATAAGTACATACATATAATAAAAAAGTTAAAATGCTAACAAAAATAATATAAATTTCATGGCAAATGTGTATATAAAAACTGTAATAATAATTTTCTATTAAATGTACATATATACATATGTATGTACGCATAGAAAGGAGAAATATTGAAGTTTCATTTTGATTGTTTCTTTTGGTGTTTCGTTGATATGCTTACACTTCCGAGTATATGTATATCTTTTTATAATAATGCAAGTGTTTGTTATCCGGCAAATAAATTCATAAATATTTTTAGTTGGCGCCAAACTTCTATAACGAAAATTTAGGCTATTCAAAAATCTATGCGCGTACCTATTTCTTTAAATTAGTAATAGCATGATTTTGTTATAGTAATTTTTCCGAGAAAAGCTCCATTCCATTAGAGTATTCGTCCTCTGATGAATTACTTAGTCTTTTAGACATACAATTGAATAATATGGGCGTTTATTTCAAATAAAACCTCTGAGAACACGGAAATTAATTTTAATAAAGGAAGATCACATAGTTTTAAGTAGTAAAACTTAATTATTTTACCAAAAATTGTGTTGTATAACAAACATACTTATAGTTATTTTCGACCATAATGATTTTGTGTTTAAATCTCAATAATTGTAATTATTATTTTTAAAAATAAATAAAAAACAAAAAAACGTCTCTTGATAATTTTAATAAGGGTCATGAAAATTTAACGTTTTTGGCCTTCATCTTTATTGGACCAAAGCAATATATTTAAAACTCTTTAACTGTAAAAGAAAAATAAATAACGTTATCAATTATTTATGTTACAATGTCTTTTATCGTTACTTTTTTATTTTCTGTTTTTCTGCAATTTTTCTTAATTATTTTTATTATAGTCTTTTTTTCCTACCTTAACTATACTTTATTTATAACTTATGTCATGTTTAACTGACTTTTGATAAAGTTGGTTGAATTTGCATGCCATTGAAGTTTAAGTTACAAAAAAAAACATAAAAATCAGAATTGTTAAGTCAGTAATATTGTTAACAGAAAAACCGCAAAAGTATACGAGAGAATCAAAAAAAGAAAAACCAAAATTTTTTCCTCTCCTAACTCTTTCTGTTTATTTTTGTTTTTTTTATGATTTCTACATAGATTTTTCTTTCAAATTGACTGACTTTAAAATTACACAAAATACACGAGATGCATAAAATTTGAGAATGAATTGAATAAACAAAAAAAAAAAACGAATAAAAACAGAAATGATAAAAAAAATATCATCAAGCAGAAAAAACAACCTAAGAAATCAGTCTATGAATTTAGATGAGTTCAGAGACTGACTTGAGTCCAACCAATATGCATTTGGAAATGGATTTTTTTCTACCTTAAACGAGAAAATATTTAAAATGATAACCATTAAGGCAAAAAGAAATAAGTGAGCGGGGGGAAATGGGTATAAAAACGAAAACTAAACAACGATAGAAGTGAAAGAAAACTAGAAAATAGAAAAATTCGAATGCTCAAATAAAAACAAAAATTGCAAAGTAACGAAAAACGTATACGATAAAATTTACTTTTATTATTTAACTTTTGTATCGTGTTCACTTGCAAATATATCGGTATGTGGTTTAATATAAATATTATGGTATAATTACATTTTGTATACATATCTTTTGGATGCACATAAAATGTATACATAATCATTTTATTTGTTAAGGTAAAATTACGAAAATATGAGAAAGTGACTTGCTTATGAAGAGAATTTAAAATTTTTAACAGAATTAATACTCACTTCAAATTAATTTAACTATTCAATAACAACCTTATTATATTTTAGTGTCATTCAGTATTTGGATTACTTATACAAGGAGCTTTTGAAAATGAAGTTAGTAATGGAAGTGTGATTTATAACTACGGCTATGTGTATTTCTGATTCGGCTCCAAATACGAAACCTTGGTAGACATTACCATGGTATTAACGCAAACAAATTCTAATATAAACCGTTTTTTATTAATGCGCATTTGTGTGTTTTGTTAAAAACAAAATTGTTTTCGATATTTAGTTCCAACCTTCTCATATCTGATGCAAATATGGTATTATTTTGATGAAGTTCGAAGTACTTGCAATTTAACTTTTTTTTTTTTTGATTTTATTTACTTATTTTTTTTTTACTTTACTTGAATTTCATTTTACTTTTTATGAGTTATAATATATATACATACAGATAGAGTATATATATATACATACATTCATAGATGTACTTATGTATATTATATTATATTATAAAAACTTGAGAATTGAGTGCGCAGTAAACACAAAAAATGAGCAAAAAATAAGAAAAAGAGAGAAGAAACAACATAAAAGTAAATCGTTTAGGAATCAACGAACCATAACGGAAAGTTTTTAATATGCTGTTGATGATGACGATTGATGATGGGGCTATATGGATTCCTATATTTTATTTTTGAGCCGACAATCCAAAAGGAAAGGTACATCATTTTTAGCAAGCATATAAATTTTTATATGTATGTACTCGTATATCCATATGTGCGGTTGTTTCCAACAACAAAATTTGTTCTGTGCTTGCATGCATAGTGCATAATTATGTGCATACATTATACACAACTGAATATACTTAGATACATACGTATGTATATATGAATGGGAATATCAATAAATGTTGAAGAGTTAAATATATGGAAACAAACAATTTGATGCATTCGATAATTATCTTGATCTTGTTTACAGTTATCGTTAATATCAAAAAAAAAAAATGGAAGATTATAATCAGTGGTAAACGAAAAATCAAAACAAAAACCAGTAACAAAAAAAAAGGCAAATAAATTTTAGAAAAAAAACTTTGATTTTTTTTCTCTTCTAAATTTTCGTTTTGTTTAGTAGTTTTTATGCAATTGTTGTAATTGTTTGTCGTGCAAAATTATGTAAAAATTTAGGTCATGTTTTATGCTTAGGTTTATAGGTACATACCACTTTTTTACTTGGAAAAATATGAAAAGAATAAACAAAAAAAGTAAAGAGATTAGAGCTATTTTATAATATTCACTAAAAATAATTAAAAATTAAAAAAAAGACACAAATTAATATTGTTCATATTTTTAAAAATGTTATTGCCTAAGAACTATTAGGTATAGATTGTTGTTACAAGGTGAAGTTTTTGTGCACTACAGTACGGATGTACGGAAAATAATGACATTAATTTGAAATTATTGTAGTCAAAAAAAGATTATGTTGTTACAAGTGAGCTAAAATAGGCGTATTTAGTGAAACTTTTGGCAAGTTTTCGCGATTACTACTTAAGTAAATAAGAGATAGAGGCTGTTGAAACAAATTATTTTGAAAATTTAATGAATATTAAGAAATTGAAAAAATATTAAGAACTTAAAATTAATATTTTGAAAATTTTTATGAGTGCTTTTTGACTAAACTAAAGCGGATGATATGGGGCTTGTACTAAAATGCAGATCTAAACTCAACTTGTCTTATTTTGAAATACAATTTTAATTGCAGCAATTAATTTGGCGTTAGATCTAAATTGTAGTAAACGGCCGTAGGTTAACCACAGTACAGCATTGTTAATGCTAAATAAGACTTCATTAGTACAAAAATCATCAAAAAAGAAAAAGTACAGCAAAATTACTGTTTTTTGCGGTTCAGATAAAATTTTAAATAATATTCAAAATTATTATTTCATTATAAGTCTCTATAATCAAATAGTTCATTTTAAATTTTTAAACAATCAAAATTTAAATTAATATTACTTTATTTTTCAGATATTTCGACCTATTCATCGGCTTATGTTTCATTGAATTGGATTAACTAAATCTAATAGCAAGCTGTAAGCTGTAAATTTATTGAAAATCGTTAATTAAATTGGTATGTATCTTACAACAGTCAATGTTTTGTTTTGTGGCATGGCGTAATAAATAACAGTAAAACCCAAAAGATTTTACCTTTGCTACATATTGTATATATATATTTATTATTTTTCCGTTGTTTATTTTTTTTCTCTTTTATTGTACTGCAACAAGTCATTTTCGATCCCCTTGCTTGATGCCTGGTTTGATATTGCAGTCTGTGATCTCCATAATGTACACCACAGTCAGCACTATGTTCTTTTTATCTGTTTATTACGGGTTCTTCACCTGCCAGTTTCCAAATTTCCACATTGGAGATTATTCTTGACCATTTATTTATGAATGTCCCAAGTTTCACTCCCATACAACAGTATTGGTTTTATACAAATCCCGAAGTGCTTTAACTTAGTTTTCTGCTCGGACCGGACACGCTTAATGCAGCTCACATGTAGAGTTTCGCTTTCATCTCTTCATCTGTATGGGAAATGTATGGGACTTGCCACTGACCAACTCATTTATGTTTTTATTATTTCATATAAAACTGCATTTATATGCACCGGGCATGAATTGCATCGAACGGTGATGATAAATTCCACTCAATTTAAAGTTCCACGATAATTATCAATGTATTAGATTGATATATTCAACTTCGTTTTATTTTGCAAAAACCAGCTTGTTTTTTGCACTCCTTTTGATCATCTCTTTTTAGATAGATTTAGTATACGGCTAGGTTGCCACGAGTGCGATATTTATATAAAGCGCAAACATATATATTCTTCTTCACAAACTTCATATGTGGTGTGCAGTTCAAATGACTCGAAGAAATCGCTGTAGTATTTTGTGTTGCTTCTGTAAACTTAATTGGAGTTTGAAATTTGAAGATTTTTTATGTTTTTAATTAAAATATTTTCGCTTTATTAAAGGAAGTGGAGCAAGGCAAAAATTGAGGTGTGTTTTGCGGAGGCATGCTATTTAGACTTAAATTCCACGAAGTTGCATTTAATATGGTTGTTTAGTTGGCTAAAATGTTGAAATTTTACTTTTAACTGCGCTTAATTGTAAACGTTATAATAATATTACCAAAAAATTAAATATCTGTTACCTAAGGGCATCAAATACTAGTTAAATAACTTCTGAGATTTTTTTCATTTTTGTTTTGAAAATATTTTAAAATTGGTTTCATAATTTTTTTAGGTAGTTAATTTTATATAAAGCATAACTAACCAATAATTTAGTGAAATAATAATAGGCGACTATAGTCTTAATTTTTTAAACTATTTTTAATAGTTTTCTATTTCATTCCAAATTATTGTTAGTGCTGTAGTTGTTGTTAGTAACGTTGAAGATTCAATTTAGATAAGTTTTGTTGCCATTATAATAGTGTTGTGCATTTTTAAATTATTAATGTTACAATAACTTTTTTATATTTGTTGAAATGAACGACAAAATTAATTAAATGTTAAATACTAAAGAACTTTATCGTAAAAACTACTGGATAGGAGATGAAAACTAAAAAAAATTTAGTAGACTGTTAAAAGTCTTTGTGGTTTGGAGGTCTCAAAATTTTTGTTAGAATTACAAATGTTTTCGATTGAAACTGTCAAAAAATGAGTTTGATTTTTAGTTCGCCAAATCTACAAACATTACAACCTGCTTGTACTAAAACTTTACAAAATGCTTGTACTAAAAGCTGCTTCGAAAGCTAACTGTCATTGTTGAGATAAATAATCTGCAAATGAATAAATTCGTAAGACAAATTTAGTTTTTAACTTTCCCTCTCGTATATCGACGTCGAATCAATTTCAAAATAACTTGAATGCTGTAAATAGCAAAATGAACCCATGAATGTATGTAGATACATAAATACATACATAGTTAAATGGAGAATAAATCAATCATCAATTATTATGAACTAAAACTCACTCAGTTTCGAGAGAATTCGAAAAAACTATTTAGTTTTTTAATTTTTTTTCTTGCAATCGCATTTCAATTATTTGAATTTTAAAATTTTTATTTGATTTTCGATTTTATTCATTTTCATCCGTAACTACTAAAACGTTATCATAAAATTCATTTTGAAAAAAATTTAATTCATTTTAAAACCACAAATTTTTTCTCTTTAGTTTTTCTTTTTCTGATAAAACTACTTTGAAGCTACATTTACATGAAAACAACATTAACAGCAATAACAACAGTTTATTAAATAACAATTAACATTTGTTTTAGTATAGAGCGTAAAAACCGAATTGTCAGATAATTTAAAAGATAATCAGGAGAGCATATTTTTTCAGTTGAACAATTTCTTTCAACAAAAGTGACGTTTCTAGTGAGCATATGTTATTGTCGTCATTATTTTTATTATTGTACTTGTTATTTCTTATTGTCACTGTCATCTTTTCAGCACTACATTTTTGTCGCAACTCAATTGCATATGATATATATAGTTTTACAGTACTACTAAGTAAGTTGTTGTTGTCGTTATATTGTCGTCGATTTTGTAAACACTTATATTTTGAATTATTATCACATTGTTATAATCAATATGTAAATAGTTGTATGTAGCTTATATTATAATTTAATGGTTTGCATGCACGTACATATGTATGTAGATATATATTAATAGCGTACGGTGTAATTTTTAGATGCAATGATTGCAGATTTTATTAGTTTTTCTTTTTAATTGTAATATTGTAAAGTACACAAGCTACAAAATAAATATTATGTTGTTATAGACTTTTGATACGCAGATATTTTTTATTATGAAAGGTGTAGCTACATATATAAAATTGTTTTGAATATTACATGTAAGTCGGAATGTATACATACGTAGATTGAAATTGGTTGATGTCAAAAAAGCATGGGTTGATAGGAGTATTGGGTATGATTTATTAATAGAAATATTTAAGGTTTAGAACTATATTAAAATAAGAAAATATTTTAGAACATTGTGTTTGGCAACAGTAATAGAACAGCGATTATTTAATGTTATAGTTTAATAATATGTTGATATTATATTTAAAAAGTAAAAATCTAAATATAATTTGTAAGCTCAACTAAAAGTTGTATAGAAATTTTCTATTTCGCTTGATTTAAGAAACCAATTGTAAACTTTAAAATATAAGTGAGTTTTTTGTTGCATATCCCATTTTGCATAAGATTTATTCAAGTCATTCGGTTCCTTTAAGGGATTCTTCAAAATCCCACAATCCCACAATCCCGTAAAACCCCGTCACACTTACTCCGCTCCAGGTTATCAGCCTGGCCCTGCCCACAGACGGATACTCCTACAGATAATGAAAGAGATTCAATTCCTTGTTTATCTCCCGGCACCTCTGTTACATTGTATTGAAGAGCAATCCTAGCCTAATCGAATGCCCATCAATAAAAAAATGAAGTTGCTATATGTAGAATTATAACATTTACATTTTTTTGCTGACAAGACGCGTAATTAACATTAAAATCTGATTCATTCAATTTTAATCATTTTAACTGAAATTGAAAAATCTTTTAATAAATCTTATAGTATAAATTTACTATTATGTGTATAAAATGCATAATTTTGAAACGGTAAAAAATTTTTCAATTTGAGATAATTTTAATCTTAATGTTTGAATAAGAAAATACAAAATGAAAACTATAGAAGTATGAAAATTCTAAGAATGTTTTTGACTTTATACTTTTTTCTTCCTTTTTTATTTAAAATGTATAAAAATCTGATTCTCTTTTAATGCCATCATGATTATCGTCCTACTTTTTATCATCAACTTGTACTGCATTTATTTTATTCCATTTTTAATACTCGTAAAACAAAAAAAAAATGTACGAAAGTGAACAATTTTTTCAACATAAACTAAGAAAAAACACAATTTTTAGTTGGTTAGTCTGTGAAGCTTTAGGGCATTTCAATTGTCTGGCGTTATATTTTTGGATGTTTGTGAATATGCAAATATAGAATCATGTAGATCTTATGTATGTTAAACTAAAGAACTTTCTACTTCTCTAGATTAATCTACTAATACAATAATGTGGGAAATTTTGACAGTTTATTTTTAAAACAACATAATGCGTTAATTAATATCTGGAGGTTTTGGATTTTCTGTGGCGTAAAAAGAATTAAACAGTTGTACGGATGAAAATAGACTTTTCAAATTTTAAATTCATAGCCTTAAATTGTACAAGAATTTGTGTACTTATTTGTCTATCTAACTAAAGTCACACTGGTATGAAAGAATACTTGACATTTTCAATAAAATAAACCTATAATAATTAACAAGTTATAAACTAAAACAAGCAAAGTCAAATTTTATAAACAACTATTAATTGAAAATTTCTGTATTGAGTGACGCATAAGTAAAGTTTGTTTTCGAAAAGGGCAACAGTCCTTTTATCTTATAAACACTGATATTACAAACGTACCAAATATTTATCGGAACATTTACTGTAATATCTATTAATGCATGTATCTATTTTTACACATTATTATATAAATAGCATCTATGTATATAAAACAAAAAAAGGATAATGGAAGGAGTATTATAAGTTTCTATAAATTTATATTATTATTGTATTTTATTGTTATACAACTGACAAAAGGAAATTTCTACTTTTTATTTTAAATATTAATTTTTTTTTCGTTTTTAAATCCTTTTGTTTTTATTTTTTTGTTTGTGTTCTTTGCTTCATTTATACATACATTGGGAATAGGGTACACAGTCTTTTATAGCGCATAAATTCAAAAGAAAGCAAAAAGGAAAACAGCAAAAATAAAATCATATTGTTGTTGAATGCAGTCCTTTTGTACGAATTGTTAAGCATCGTATAGTGTAGTAAAGTATGCCTATACCAGTATGTATGTGTGAGCCTTAGTATAAATAAAAATAAGGATATACAAAGATGAAATATAATGAATACATAATTGTATAGATGCTTGTATAAGTATACGGTATATTCGGGTTTTTTTTTTTCATTTTTAAATAATATCTTTTTTCGTATTGTTTTTTTCCTTAAACTCGTATAATT